TCATGTTCACCTTGTGGTCAGTCAAGACCCCCAAGTCTCTTTCATCCATAGTGCTAGCCAGCGTAGCCTCCTCCCCAGCGGAGAGAGGTGTGAAGGCTGTCCCATCCCAGCAGCTCGCTGCCTCTCTCATCAAAGAGCGGACTGTGGTCATGGAAGCCAGAGCCTTCCCGATGACACCAGTGCTGCAGTCTTTGGTTCACTACCTCGATCCTCCTCTCCCTCCACAGCCTGTAGCCCGAAACTGAGAGGATCGAAGAAAACACCACCTGCACCCCCAACTCCTTAAGCCCCACTCCCAAATCCCTGTAGCATTTCATGACCCAGCTGGGATTGCTTCAAGCTGTGTCATTGGTGCCCACATGGATAAGGAGCATAGGGTAGTGGTCAGTGGGCCGGAGGAGCTCAGGGATCCTCTCTGCAATACCTTGGATACAGGCTCCCAGGAAGCAGCAGACTTCCCGGGCTAAGGGGTCAGGTAGCAGATTGCCCCCTCAGTCCCCCTCAGGATAGAGTCTCCCACGACGAACACGTTGCATTTTGTCTTAAGGAGAGCAGGGGCAGTAGCTACAGTTGAGTCTGTGTTGCCTGCAGGAGCTGGCATCTTGGCAGGCTTTGCTGGGGCTGCAAGAGGTTCATACCTGTTGCAAAGCTCCAGCGGGACAGGGTCCTTGGTGCGGCGGGCCTTGGGGCTCTTGAACACCTTGGTCCATCCCCTTGGCTGGACAGAGTGGGAGGTCCCCAAGTCCTCCCTTGTCCTGGAAGGAGACCTTGGTCTGCCCTCCACCTCTAGGGGAGAAGGGCCTGGCAGTAGGAGTCTGTCTCCTGCTCACCATCCCTGATGGCTTGCAGTCTCTGGACTGCGGCCTGGAGCTCCTCCAGCTGAAGTGCCAGAGACCCCAAAAGGGAGCAGACCTCACAAGGGGAGGTGGCCATGCTCCTGGACCCCAGAGCCTGAAACAGTGACAGACAGCCGCTGCAGCCGGGAGCCAGGGGCTCCGTCTGTGTGGAGCCCAGAAGCATGGGCTCCGTCTGGGTGGAGGCCTCTGAGGCGCCAGAGGGGGAGGCCGGAGACCCCGAGGGTTGCGACGCATGCCCATCCACATGATGCCTCTGGGAGGCCGGCTGCTTCCTTCCCTAGGGAACAAAGGCAGGGCCTCGGGCCCTCCCACTGGCCCTTCTGGGCAAACTCCGCACTAACTCACGCACCAGGCAGACAAGCACGCCTGTTTGTGAGGCTCTGGTCGCATGGCTCCCTAACCCTAACCCTAACCCCCTCCCACCACGGGCCCAGCTTACCTCCGGCTGTGCTGGGGGTCGGCAGGGTGCTCTGCGGCTGCTGGGGGGGGGCTTCGGGGAGCAGGGTGTAGCAGGCTTGCTCCCACACGTCTCTCACTGCCCCCGGAGCCTGACCGGGTTTTTTTTGCTTTGGCAGGCTTTTTTAAACTGCGCACATGTGCAGTGGGCCCGCCACCAGAGTCACACTGATCCCAGGTTAGGGGAGACCCTACCCAGGATTTAGGGGACTGTGCCCCACAAGAGAGGGACTGGTAGATACCCTCTCCCCATCACCTACTCTGTCTCTGTGGGGCTGGGCCAACCCTGACTGGGTTGTGGCTAAATTGAGTAATATACCCTAAAATAAAGTAATAATGATTCTATCATCAGTAACTTATTCTTTGTAACTGCTAAAATGGCTGCTGAACGTTAAAATATTCTCCTTAAAGATCAGTGCTCGTACACTGTTCCATGATGCCATCACCCTTTTCAGCCTTCGTTTTCGGCCTGTGGTTTTGTTTCCTATTCATAATTTGTCTAACTTGTGGTCAATAGGTTCAAGCCTTGCTGTTCACCTATGTTAGTTCTTGCTGGACTAGGTTGTTTTCAGTACTGTAGTGTTTTGAACCTTTTTTTCCAACAAGTAATATCAGACTTACAGGTAAAGAGAATTTGGCTGTGTGTACATAAATACCAGTATCAGGTTTGAGTGTCCTGAGGCCAAAGACGGCCTAGCACCTAGGTTTGCCACATCCTGAGCAAGTCCTCTTACCATCTTCATCTTTTATGGAGCTGCAAGTTTCCTTTTTCGACATCAGTTGTTAGACATGCTGTGCCTTGGCTTAAGTTATGAGGGGTTTAGGTAGTCTAGTCATTTCCAAGCACCAATTTGGGCTTCAGGGGTTTAAAGAAGAACTAGACATGTTGGGTTGGCCAACCTGGATTGCTTTTAAGCATGCTTGGTAGCCTGGTTTTGGGTGCCTGAGGATAATTTTCAGGCCAAAGTGTCTTGTGGTTGTTGAATAGGGTCATTTTTTACTCCTTTTTGTGATTGAGGCACCTACATTCCTCCTGGGTTGTTCAGGCAACTGCCAGATTAAGATGTGGCCCTTGGTCTCAAATCTCTCCTGCGTTTTATAAGACAGTGTTCTGACAGCCACAGTTATGTTCAGGGATCCTGCTTTTCTCTGTTTAAAAATTCAAAATACTTACGTATTTTGACGTTTGATTTTGGGTGTTTTTTATCGTGGAAAATCAGAGCTCCTCTTGCCCTCTTCACTCACCAGGACGTAGCTGTCCCCCCTGCTGCTTTGTGGCACTGAGCAACCCTGATATGCCAGTGCCCTGCCCCTGCCATTGCTCCTCACTCCCAAGCCCCTCCCTGCCCTTCCCCCAGCCCCAAGCACCTCCTTGTAGGCTAGAAGGCTGCCAGCCTGCAAGGGGAAACCTGTGATTTCCCATGGTTTTCTCATTTAAAGAGGAAAATCTGCATTTTTCTCCTTCAAATGAGAAAATACATGCTTTTCTGTAGCAAACAGAAAACCTGGATCCCTGGTTATGTTGAATGCAAAAAAAGACAGAAGGTTCAGCATTTACCAGAGGCTGCGTATAGTTCTGCATTCAGTAGAAGCTGTGGGTAACTTGTTTGGTTTCCTGTTCAGTAGGTTTTGATTTTTCTTCCCTCCCTGCCCAACCCTGAATTCCAACATCAAAAGTTGGACTAAAAGTAAAAAGATGGGGAGAGAAATGTGGTTTCTTCTACACTGTTTCAATTTGTGGCGCTTAATTCTTCTTTTGCATCCATTTTCCAGACAATGTGAGGTAGCTTTTCAAATTTAACTTTTAGTTCAGTTTTCATTGTAATTACACACCTTTATGCTCAAAACAAACTTTTCATCCTTTCTCTAATTACTTTCCCGACCCCAATAAATTCTGTGTTTTTTCATGCTTACTTTTCTAACACTTCCTACAAGACTCTCAATTACTCAGAGGCAGATGATATTAGAACCATGATGGATAGTGTTTCTATGCAAGTGATGGTCTCTTCAAGGGTAGTATCTGATGTATGAGGGGACAGGTCCTGAGGAAGCAAAAAGTTTTTAATTTTTTTTTTAAATGAGCATTTTACACAACTCCCCACCTGATAGTAGACTTGGTAATCCAGAAGTGGGAATTGTCTGTCAACTTTTTGATCTTTTGTTTTGATGGCACTAATATCTACAAAACTAGACAAGTATCGGAGAAACTTTTTCTAAGCCTCTTCCCTAAAAAGCTCATAAAATAAAGCACATTGCAGTACTTTGGAGCACAAAATAAAGCAGAATGGAATTTGAAAGGCCTTTTCCCTTGTGTGAAAATCAGGCTGTCTGGCATGCTTTGTGCTTGGAAAATGAAGAGAAAGGTCATGTAATGTAATGTAAATGGAAACCATCCTTATACTGTCCTTATCTAGAAACACTGAGTGTTATGGAATGCTGTCAGTATAAAAGGATTTTTTTTTACTTTTACCTACAAGTAAAATAGGCAAACCATTCAGAACAATGACAGTGTTTTTTATTTGGATACCAGATGGACACTTTGATTTTTCAGTTGTTTGTATATCCACACGCATGGTGCTCATGTCCTGTATGCATGTATCTCTGTATCTGTGTATGATTTTTAAAACAATAATAATTTTTGTTTATTTTTTGTGTCCCCCCTCCTCCCCCCCCCACAGTTTATTGTGGAGTGTCATGGGAATACACTTCTTCCCCAGTTTTTGGGCATGTACAGGCTTACTGTTGATGGAGTTGAGGTATATATGATTGTTACAAGAAATGTGTTCAGCCATCGTTTATCTGTTTATAGAAAGTATGATTTAAAGGTAAGAAAATTTTTTGAATATAAATAACTGTTAAAGTACCTGAAAGTCATTAATGGAATTATTAAAGCTGGTTGGTTTTTGATATATTTTGCTTTTGATGTTGGTTGCTGGAAAATCTAACCACTTTATTAAATTAATATTATTGCTCAAAAGTTACGTGGGTTACTTCTAAAAGAAAAAGAAAAAAAAGGCTTTGTGGTTAGTTGCACTATAAAAAAAAAAAAAAAAAAAAAAAAAAAA